AATGTATGGGAAATGGGTACCTGATGTATGGAAAATGGGTACCTAACAGAGCACACACTAATTAATCACACCAGAGTTTGCAGTGGTGCTATTATTCAGTAGGCAACTTGTTTCATTTGTGGCTCACCATCCTTCACTCTCAGTTGCCTGAGTCGCACTGGTCCTACCCGGTACCCTTGCCAGTCAGCAATGAACCTGGTGTGCCTCCAATGCATTGGTACTCCGTTGTAGTACGTGTTGCCATAGAGACCAGGGATGAGGGCTTCCTCCACCCACTGCCAGAACAGATCAGGTGTGCTCTTCTCTAAGCTCTTGAAGGAGACCTTAGCACTCTGTTGGGAGTGAAGGAAATCTATGAAAGAATGACTTCTTCCTTTCTTATGAGTCTTAAGTTAAAGGGAATACATGCAATTACTAAATACATTTTTTTCTTTGCTCTTACAAAATATTATAATTCGTTGTATCTTAACTTTCTGTGATGATCGCATCTGTATATTTATCAACTTGTATATAATCAGAGGTCAACCTCTCATAGAATCAAGCTTACTAAAAGAAATGGAATCATACAAGAAATCAAACAGAATACTCCTGGCAATTAGTCCAAAATTTGTAAACCATTTCTTTTTCTAAGCTTGGCAAACTGGTTTTAAGTATTTATTCTGTCATTCTAAGATGTGATTAATGTAATCAAATCCAAAAGGGTTTTGTCACAGATGGCTATTTCAATTTAGCTGAGTAGTTCTGACTGTGTTTTTAGTGCCAGTGTTGTCCACAAAGATGTCTCTGAGTGACTGGGACATGTAGAAGGACATTCCATCCCTGCTGGAGTAACACAAGAAGAGGACGACGACAACAAAGAGAGTATAGATCCCTGTCTCCTTCAGTGTGCGATTCAGCTTGATTTCCTTTATGCGTTTCTGGCGTGCCTCCTCTAGTGCCTCTTTGCTTGGAGGGAGTCGCTGTCTGTGCTCAGGGGAGTTTACTGTCAAGGAAGTAGGTATCAAGGTTTAAAGAGACAGAATCAGCTTGCAGTATGAAACAAGAAGGCATGTGTAGGGCAGGGGATTTAGGTCGATGCAGTGGCACTTCACTCGCCTTCCACCCCTGCAAAGTGGGTTCGAATCCCACCTAGGTCAGTATGTAGAGTTAGTGTTCGGTTCCTACCCAATTCCATGGCGTTTCCCCAGAGTATTTGACACGGATTTTCTTCCCACCTCTACAACTGAATGTGTCTTAATTGTCGCATCTCTACAACTTCATCAGGCTGATGAGATACACTTCCCAGAGTACTTTTGAGGATTCCTCCATTTTGTGAATGAAAAATGAAAGAAATTATTAATAACAAACAGCTCGCTTGATAATTGCCCTCTGTAGTTCAAACTGAGTCCATATTTTCCGTTCACAATTAGCCACTAAGGTGTAGTTACATGGACAGTGTTAGATACTGTAATTAAAGTTAGTAAGTTAGATACTGCAACTGTAATCAAATCAGCAGATTGCAGATGGTAGCATTCTTAGGCTCACAGGCTCTGTGTTTTATCAGTGGAGATCGCAAATTTTCTTTCCGTTGCATATTGTTGAGAATTAGAATTCACATTTTAGATTGATTCAGTGATTTTGTCTTTGTGATACAAACAACTGAGAATAGAAGAGCATAATGTGGATCATATTAAAGGGAAATCCAACATTTTCCTGGTGACAGTGATTGATGCAAGATCTCCTCATCATCTCGGAGCTGATTCTGATCACAGGACAAGTCGGCATCCATCTCAACGTCCATCTTGGCAGGTTTCTTGAAGATCAATGACAGGAGCATTGCTACGATGAGGACCTAGAGAGGAAAGTCTCAACAGTTAGAAATAAAGGTGTGAGGGAATCAATGTGTATATTTCTGTTGTCAGCTCTGAAGGCCAAAATCGAAAGATCGCTTGGGGTTGATAGTACAGATTCTGCAGTTGGTCAGCGATCTATTGCACCATTATTCAGGCTTATAGACAGATTTTTGTTTCCTTCTATCTGATAAACTTTCTTTAAGATACAGTCCATCATTTGCAGTTATTGAAAAAGTATTACAGATGAAATTATTGTGGAAAACATCCTTAGTTTTAAGATGGTTATGGGACTAAACTCCCTGTGAAATTATTCTTTCTGGTAAGCTGTCATTTTGAAGAAAACAACGAAAGAAGGCTACTTCCAACGATGTGTTTATAAAGATACATGTTTGGGAAACAGCCATTAGAAGTGCCACAAGCATTGACACATATGCACATACATTTATTGCACTTCTGATAATTTGTTTGTTCATGACATCGCGTAGACGCATTCAACTGAATGTGAGAACGTGTCCCAGATGCTGAATTCTGATGCAATTCAAGACATGACTCAGCAACTTTTGATCTGAATTTAAAAGCCTAGAATATTGGTTTTTTTCTCAGAATATGCACAGTATTCACTGAGCTGAAACTTCATCAGGTTTGTTTTTAGACGCCCTTCTTTAGATTTTGAGTAATTTTATTGCCTCAAAAGAACATAATGCTCAAATTACAGATGATGGACTGCACCTTTAAACAACTATCACTGTCGTAAAAATTTTAACCTTGGGAGGAAACTTGCCTTGAATGGTTGTATGACCAGCACTGAGTTGACCAAGGATATCAGCATTGAGGTTAGCCACTCAGAGGATTTTTGCTGTCCCCATTCTAAGCTATATAAGATGGTGAAGAAGGCTGCGGTGAATGAGGAGAGAATCATGAGCAGCCATGCAATGTAGACACACCAGTGAGGTAACAAGAATGGCTTGGTTTTTGCTTTCCCGATCTTTGTTTTACTTTTTGCTGGAGCATCCGCTGGAACGAGTTCAATCTTGTCTGATGATTTGACATCCACAAGGGAGCTTTGCGGTGTTGAACTCTCAGAGGCACTGTCTCTCAAGTGGTTGAGCTTCTCTTGGAGATGTTTGGGGAGTGAGTTGGTCATTTGAGATTTGCTGGGTTTGGATTTTCTGAAGATCTGGACGATGAGGATGTTGACTGGTAGAACAATCAAGGCACTGATGAATCCTATGTAAAGCTCTTGAAGTGTGAAGATGAAGGGTCCAAGACGTAGAGCTGTGGGGTTCTCCACAGTCTCTTCAGTGCGATAGAACATTGCACTGGTGATCATGCTAAGGTAGAGAAGACACAAGCAGCAGGAGAGCCGCTGGACTCGGGTGAAGGGGCTCCGTGTCGGCCGACTGAACAGCGAGAACCAGATATGGTCGTCAAAGAGATTACGTCGACTGCTAGAGAAGAAGAGCTTGCTGAACTGGGTCAGATCAGAACGGGTTGCAACAGGAAGAACACGCTCTACTGCTCCGTCATCTTTCTCTACTGCCAGCCAGCGATCACAGACAAAGAAGTATCTAAGAGAAAAAAATTGACAATGCTTTCACACTTTTTTCTAAGACTTATTCTTTCAAAATAGCACATGCTAAAAGATCAACCATTTTGTTTTCCCTTGTCAAGCCTCTACATTTTCAAAATTTGGAACGTTTTAAGTGTGTTGTAAACAAGTGATTTTTTTGTATGATCTTTCCGGGAGTGTGTGGAGCAAAACTTCTACATAGATTTACTCTTTCGAGATTTTATCTCACAACCACATTGCTGTAATTAGATATCTTACTTTCCCAGATTTCAAAGATCAGGTCTGATCTGTGACCTCACAATGACAAGGTCTGATCTACTTACTGCTGTCCGTTTTGCAGATCTAGGATAGAAACCTGTGACAGGTACCAGCCAGCAAGTTGACCATGTCCAGAGTTGTCGTGCCAGAGTTTAATGTAGGAGAGGGGACCCAGGGGCCTGGCCACACCCATCAAGAAGTGACAGATGCTGCCGCTTTCAAACACCTGTAAACACCAATTGACCATGTTGATTGCAACCACTCAAAGCAGTTTCACAGCTTGAGCCAGACTTCTATTGTCAGAGACCATCTGAAAACTGAAGGCTTTCGTCCAAAACGTAGTCCTTCAAAATGTGCAATTCCTTTGAATACTATATACACATATTTTATATTTTGGAGGGAAAACTTTATATGCTTGGATAAAGTTTAGAAACAGATTTTCTTAGAAATGCTGCTTGCTGGAGCATGAATGCTCATGAAGTTTCAGATACTGATGTTTTCACAATGTACCTTTCTTTTGTCATCGTCCAATAAGCGCACACCACTGTCTCCATCCTCTCCTGTGAGGATAATGCTGACCTTTGACCTCGTGCCACAGCCTGGACCCATGCCAGTTTGCACAGTGACTTGGTAGAAGTACGTGTCATTAGGGTGGTTGTCGCCTAAGGGACTTACACCCCACTGGAATGAAATGTCAACTCCAAATAATAATGTCCGAGTGAATCTTTGTGCTCTATTTTGCATCTTCCATGGTCATTTTGGTCCACCATCTTTGATGCGAGACCGTTTCCAAGCAGCTGGAGCAACTGTGCATTTCTGCCAGCAGTGTTCCACATCAAAAAGCCATAGCTACATGTATGCTCGCGGGTACACCACGGAAACAGTCTCTGAGGAGAGCCAGTGGTGGAAAAAGATCTCAACATTTTGTACAGTGTACTTCAGAGACATAAAGATAAGCAGAGCGCAACGTTTGAAAAGTAAAGACCTTTTCTCACCATCAGCTCTTAGAGCCAACGTATCTTCCTGAAAGATATTTGCTTCCATGTTGTACCCACAAACATACCTCTCTGTAGGCTTCTAATGCCAGGCAAAGCATTGAAGAACCCTTCCATATTTTACATATAATCCAAAGTTAAGTATACTGGTGTCAAATTTACACGGCATACCTGTACAAGTATGATTCAATTGGGAAATAAATATAAGTATACTTTTCCAGTTTCCAGAAGTACAGTAATGAGGAAAATATTCATCCTGCATATGTGAGCACTATTTTTGCAATTTTTCAACTGTACACAGAACATGACTTTTTACAGAAAAGTTTTTTAGTTGCAAGTAATTTTGTTTGTGTTGTTTTTACAAAGAGGCATTAATCTTCATAAAGCAAGCAAATAAACGAGGTAGGATGTTTGAAATTTGGATGGTTTACCTTGACGATATCCTGCTTGTCTTTTCTCCTCAGCCAAATGAGCAGGAGCAGATACAGGCCGAAGAATCCAAGCACCGTGGCAAAGACAGCCACGTTGCTTCCCAGATCCTGAAACTTGCTGAAGACAGTGGAGAAGTCAATGGTGTTTGGAGGCACAAAGAACGAGGAGGCAAATGAGGAGAGATGGTTGCAGAGGCAGTGGATGGAAGAGGTTGAGGTCTGCGACCCAACCTGAAGGGAACAGAAGATGGGTCAGTCTGAGGTGAGCTCAGAATTTAACGTGTTTGTGCTCTCATTTTTTGAAAAACGCATACGCTGTGAAGCTAACTTTATGTTGGTTCTAAGCCAAGGTTCTAAATGTTTAGCACAGCAAACAGAAAGACAAACTTCAAACGTGGGTTTTGCTTTGAGTGGCAATGCAACAAGAGCATTCATCACACATTCAGCAATGCTCAGCAAAACTATGACATTGAGACCTTGTCATATTAGTCTGAAAACTTGGACTTGTCCGGCCTAACCTGGCACCCTCGACTACTCCATGCTGTGATGTTGGTATCCCAGAACCGGCAACCAGCTGCATATATCACCATGGTTGTGTTCACTTCAAACATTTCGTCTGTCTGGTTCACTATGAGTGTTGTTCCATTTGAAGAATCTTGGTGTAGATCACTAGTGTCTATTTGAATAATAGAAAGAAGAGTTTGAAAATGAAAACACTCACTGTTGACCTTAAACAAAAACTTTCTGAAAATTTATCTTGTCTCACTTTAGTAAACTTCAAAGTTTTATAATTACTTGAATGACAGAAAAATTAATCTTATACTGAGGTTTTTGTTTAGTTTAACTAAATATGTATTTTAGACCTTTTAGATGGTAAAAAACTGGATTTAGATTGCTTCAACAGTGCAGTAAATTGGCTAAACTTATGAGCATGAGTTTATAGAAACATTACATCCCATGCTTTTAGCTTAGAATACTTTTACACATGTGTCATTTTCAAGAAGAAGGTCTTTTCAGAAAGTTAGTATAACCTGCCAGGCCGACGCCCAAATAGTAGTCTCCTACACCAGTCAGTAACTCTTCAGAAAACACTGCAGTGTGTCTAGCCTCTGTTACCAGTCCCACATCACTCCACATTTCATCTTCTCCAAGGTTTCTCGGTATCTCTATGAGTGCATCATACGATCTGGTGTCGGGGCGGCTTCCCTTTCTTAGATAGACCAGAAACTTCGTCACGTTGTCTGTCATTTCTCGGAAAATCACTCGGAGCTGGATGTTTTCCTCTTGTACTTCCACCTGTCGAGAATTCAGACCTCACTAACCATTGTATTTGATGAGGAAACAAAAAGAACTTAACTGGAAAGAAGTCTACCAGTTCATGATAGCATTTCAACTCTTTACGTTTTTGTCACATTCAAACAGTCAAAAAGCTTTTAGAGACATTTTGATCAGTAGACCTCATAAGGTTGGTGATTCTTCCGGTGTGTTTGATCTATTCAGCATTTTTCTCTGTTATCCCCATATGATTTGCAGTTTTTCAAGAAAAAATTTATGAATTACATTCGGCTTCCTTCTGTAAAAAAGTTATCTTTACTGTGTTGCATTTAACCTTTGATAAGTTTGCCTACGTAAGCATGCATGCAAAAACTGTACATTTCAAAAAGGAAAAGAAGCCACAACATGTACAAAAGTTAAATTAATGGCCAAACCATTGCTATTAAAACTCTCATTTTTCTCTCAAAGTTAGGATTCAGCAGTAGAGTGTTTGTACCTTGTGATACTGCATTGTGGATGCATTCATAAATGTCATTCTGACGGTCTCAGCACTTGTTAGTTTGCTCTGGTCAACATCAAGGGCGATACTGATCATATCAGTCAGGTTCTGCACTGAGAGTAGCTCCCCTTGTCCCGTCTTAAAGTCTAGGGCGAGCACCCCCTTGGAACCTATGCTATCTGAGCTCTTGGAAAAGCTGTAGGGGTTTGCGTTGTAGGAAAAGATCTGTGAAAGGCAACCACAAAAGAACAGTTACTCCCTTGGCCATATTAGTAAAGTTGAAGAAATTCTTAGACATTGACATGAGTAGAACTGAGCGCTGGCATGATGTGAACTTTAAATCCAAGGGATTGCTTTCAGAAATGACTGTCCCTGAGCTTTTGGGTGAGCTTTCACAAAGTGCACTGATTTTTACATACAACCCTTTACAATAACTTAGTCCCGCAACTTATTGGAGCCAGCTGAATGATGCAAACTAGACATAGACATAGTAGCAGATTCTGCAGTAGTGATATTTGATGTTGGATACAAGACTAGGTGCTTTAAGCATTAACAGAGGGGTATGCTGTTCAATCAAGAAATGTTCTTAGCAATGGCGTGCCAAACTTACAAACTGTTCCACCTGTTTTGCCCCACTGGATCCAAACAGCGAGCTGGCGTTGGGTAGACTGAAGGAGCCAGCGTCTGTATTGATTTGTCTGTTAGCCACTGAGATGGGCTCGTCCTTGAAGACTTCCAGAGTGAGTTGATCCGTGACCAGTGTGACAGGAGGTTGACCTGTGACCCGTTGACCTATGACCACGTCAGAGACCAGGTCCAGCGTTCCCTGTGCTAGCATGCTGATGGTTGATGCCTGTTTGTTTGCAGAAATAATAATTGAAAAAAGGCCTAAGGGTTGCATATAATCACTTATTTACTTTAATTTGACTTTCTCTGTTATCGGCACCATGGCATTAATAATGACACTGTCATTATCAGCACCGTAGCATTGTTAATGTCACTGTAATGCCATGGCTGCTGTCACTGTCACTGCCTGCATCACAGTCAAAGCTTTTTCCCCAACTTTGTTACCCCTGATGTTGTCATGATCTCTACTATCGTTTGACGATTATCATCATCATCTTCTTTATCTGCACGTTCACGCGCTTCCATAGATTGCTTTCCCATCATTTCTTACTCCACATCCCAACCCACTGTCCCTATGATTGCAAGCATTGTCACTGCCAGCCTTATCATTATCTGGATACCAGATTGCAATCTCCATGTCTATTTGCTCTCAGTATTCCAAGTATCTACCAACCATCAGCATCATCCATATCATCAGTAATCATCATCATATCAGTATCATTAGATCATAATCTTCTTCATTTTGGGTCTAATCATTTCTCACACCGTCCTCAATTTTATCCCTACCTACCACTTCTCGTGCATTTTGCTCATTTCTTTCTCGTTCCTTCTTCTTTCTCATGGCTTCTTCGGCCAACTCCTCAGGTGAAAGGTCATCGCCATAGACATCAAAGACAACCAGTTCCCCGGTTCCAGATGGTGATGTAGTGGTGGACACAGATGCTTCACTGGCTCCCATGACAGTCTGAACGATCTTGTCTGATTGGGCAATCAAACTTCCTAGTCCATCGGTGAGTCCTGTTGCGGCAGTGAAATGGAGCAATTATCTGACTTTTCACAGCTGAGGTTTCTAACTAACTCCTGTCAGACAATCCCTTTACAACTGAACTCATTTAGAATTGAATGTTTAAATGATTTTATTTTTGAAGATGTATTTTCTTACACAAGGGGGAAAAATCCCCAAATCATTGAACAAAAAATGCTTGTTTGCTCTTATCTCTGGGCGAGAATTCACTTAGCTTTCTCAAACATTCCAACTTCTGTATGAGTAAAAAGAAAGCTTAAATTGTTAAAATAATAAAAGTTATTCACTGTAAGTTTTTTGGGATGGGATATTGTCATTATCAAGTTGATGCAATGGAGGCACATCGGTTGTTAATTAAAACGAGAGACAGTAGTGTAGTCTTTACCTTTGGCTGTGTCAATGACAACTTCAGGATTGTCTTCATCTATTCCTTTCAAACTCAATGCCATCCCGGCCATCGCAGCTGCAGCCTCAACCTGATCACAACAACAATCCAGGAAAATTTTTCATAAATCAGAACTTTTGTATCCCATCAGACTGAACAAATCAAGTCAAACTTTGTTCATCAGTCAGAAAAAGCATCAGTAGCTTGCTGAAAGACGTGACGTAATTTGCTGAGTAAATTATATTGAGTTTATATATTGATATTGTTGATCAAGCTTCATACATGTTTTCTTGATCTTTATAGGTAAAGTTGCCTGCCAAGCTTGAAATCTAACTTTACATGAAGAATTTAAGAAGTTGAAATTTAAAAATAACGCAATACATGCTATTGTTTAAAACTGTTGTCAGACTGTTAAAGTATGCAATTAAGTACATGTGGGAAAATGAAAAAAAAATAAGATGCCCTTCTAAGCTTGTCAGTAATGTACTCACCAATGCATTGTCATTCACTCCTCCAGTAAGACTCATTGCCATGACGACCGATGCCTGAAACAGCGAATTGGCTGTCTTTGCCCACAGTGAAACCTTACTCAACTCCAGGATTAGATTGGAGCGTAACTTGGAAGGAAAAAGACATGAGTAAGATGGACAAGTGGATCAAGAGGTATGTTTATGTTTGCTGGAGCACCAACTGGAAAACCTCTTTGATTTGTATAAATAGCTTTAAAAAGAAGTAAGGCAAAAGTACTGTCCAATACAGTTGCTTTAATTTAGCCAATTAAAACAGAGCTTGGTTGTTGGATACGACAATAAAAAGCAGAAACAGAACATTTCTGGAAGTGGGACACACCCTGGTTAAATCTGGTCCACACTTCTGTCACTAACCTCTCTCAGTTCTTCAGGTGTAAATGTGGAGTTTTCATCCTAAGAAAAAAAGGAAAGGTTAAAGGTGAACTCATGTGGGCAATTGATATATCAAGCTGTTTATGGTGATGTAAAATCTTCTCCGCCACTTGCAGCAGGGTCATTCTATGAACTCAGAGTCCAAACGTTGGACATCTTGTCTCCCTGTTACACCTGACCTGTGTAATTTGACATGGAAATATCACTGAAATTAACTTCAAACTACTTGCTATTGGTGTAGTAGGTAATCTGCATCACTTAAGCACTCTTAAAATAAATGATTGTGTTTAACACTCACGAGATTGCTGTATATGTAGGTGTGACCAGAACTTTATAAAAAAATTGGACTCCAACTTTATAGAATGATCAGGCGCAGTTCTACGGCGGAGGAGAGGCTGAGGGGACTTTTGCCCCCCCCCCCATTTTGTTGAGCTCCCCCCCAAGAAAAATGAAAACATTTGTAAAAAGTTGGAAAATATTGGATTTGCAGTAGAAAAAGTTAAAAGGTGACGTCACATGCAAAAGGTTTAGCCCTCTCAAAAATTGGCTCTAGAATCGTGCCAGAGAATAATCCAGCAAAGCTCACATGAGGACACTGTAACTACTAAATTTGAATCAAGTTTAAAATGTTCAAGTAACGTAAACATACCATACGTAAGTGCCACAAGTTTGAAAGAAGGATTTAAATATAAATTTTATCTGAACCGTGTCTGTTTGCAAAGTTTGTTTACATGTAATCATAGTAAACTTTGTGCCAGGTAAAAAGCTCCAACACCAAAAATAAAGCTGTCAGAAAGTGTCCATGAGTACTCCACGCCAAGTGTGACTTTGGGTAATTGATCAAAATTTGATGCAAAACTTTTGTGTGCAGTTTTTATATGATAGCCTGGTTGGCAGCAGACATGCCTGTGGTTCGGACAGGACGGTCAGGACAGCGGATATCAGCTGGGTGGCACCCTCCACATCACCAGACGATGCCAGGAGTGATAGTCTACTGTTGTTGGAGCCGACAAGCGATGTGATTGCATCAGCTGTTAGGTCTGGTTTCCTGACCTGTTTGATATAATATGAACTGACATCATATCATCTGACGACTAACTTTGTCATTTTGGATTTCATTTGAAACCAGTTTCCCCTAATTAGCATTGCATTATCAAGACCACAATTTAATCATAGATTTCACAGTGTATAAACAGGATCAAAAAGACGTTTTTCATTTGCAATTAAGTTGATTTCTAGATGTATGTTTCTTTTTCTCAAATAAAGTTGCTTCATGCAGACTAGTTTGGCAACCAGACTGATATGCACTCTTTGTAGGGATGTAATGAGTGAAAGACAAAGACACTAAGTTGAGTTTTGTTTCAATCATAAACCAGCACAGTCCAAAGAGGTCCACTGATCTGCCATCTGTATATTACAATGCTGGAAAAAGTCATTCTAGCAACTGAAAATTGTGCAGTTGACAACAATTTAATGAAACAATTATCATACAGAGACTGTCAAGTTGACAGATGCAGCTGCACCATACACGTCTACTACGGCAACCTGCACATCATGTTGGAAGCTGAACTCCTCTGGGCCAACTCCAAAGAGAATTCCTGAGGTGGAACTATCAGCGCTGGATGTCAGGAGGGAGAAATCGGTCTGACCCTTAGCTCTGCTCATGACACGGTACTGAAGGACTTGTCCTGAAGCAAGATGTTGGGAAATGGAGTCTCGGTTGATGGCGTGACCCTCGTCTAACCAGCCAGAGCAGTTGATACTGAACTCTGTGGTGACTGCAAAGCCTACAGTGAGAAAAGCACGGTGAGACCTGACAGCTTTTCCTTTGTCAATCTTCATTGTCATTCAAATTTACATATTACAAGTGGTTTTTGCCAGCCAGCTGGAAATGTCAATATACATTCCAAGTGAAGGGCATTGGAAGTTGCTAAAGTTGATTGGCAAAGACTTCAAAACAAAGTGGATAATCAATATCAAAACAGAAAAAGTTTTATTCATGAATACAAGAACCTATGAATTCTTGGCAAAGAATCTTTTGTTGAGGGGTATCCAATGAAGGAATCCCACTTCTAATTGAAACACCAACAAAAAAAAACATACAGAAGTTCCAAATAAACAAGGTAACTAAAAATGTTGTTCCAATCAAAATCTGCAATTTAATCTTACCAACAGATGGGTTGATCTGGCATGCACCATTGTACGGAGGCAAGTTAGTGAGGAATGAGTATTGGGTGAAACCGTTGCCTAGCAACACATCCTTGACATCAAGACGCAGATAGTATTCTCTTCCTGCATCCAGTTCACTTGGATTAAAGGCAATACCTTGCTTAGACACACCTACAACAATCAAGCCAAAATAAGTTTGATTCTATCGTTTGTTGTTATTCATAGAGAGGCAAACTTTCTTCGTTCGGTAATGTTTACAGTGCAAAACAAATCATTTAATGCATTAAATAACAAAAATGGTTATCAGCACACTATTTCATTAATGGAGCAAATAATGCCATTGTACATTAACAATATTTGCAGCTTTAGAACAGATCGTGTCAAATATGATGACTATTTATCATCTGGTTACATTCTTAATATGCAAATTCTTTTATTAATGTTTTATTGTCAAAAACATTAAGATGCTATTCCAGCTCTGCATGTTTGGAACTCACCTGTTGATGTCATATTACCAAGGTTACTGACATGCTGTAAGTCCTCACTGTCTTGCTGTTTTGAATAGAGTGTCCATGTAAACAGCGATTGGCTGTTGGCATCGCAGTTGCTGCAGCTCCCTTGCAGGGTGAAGGAAGACGTGGGATTGACTTTATCACGGCAGTTTGAAACACAGCTAAGATTCATAAAACAAAATCAAAGTTACCAAAATTGATACTTCAAAAGTAGAATGCAAAGTGTGAATATTATCACCATTATCAAGTGAAGAAAAGAAATAAAATGTATACTTGATGTGTCAGCTTGATGATATAGACAAAGTTTATGGATTCAAGAGTTGAGTGAAAAAGAATATCAAAAGATTAAAGGCATAACAAAATGTTCACAACTTTGCCAAACTGAAAAAAAAAAGTTGGAAGATATGGCCTTTGACAATAGAATATAGACAGTCTTTATCAATTTGAAATGAAATGAAAGTTTTGAACTTTTTTACTTGCCTGATAGATACTTTTGGTGGTTCTCCCTGCATGACCTGGATGGTTTGCTGATAGGATGCAAATCTTGATCCAATGGTGGTTTCAACCTTGAAGACATACACTGCATCGACCCGGAGTTGCAGTGGATTCAGCTGAATGATAGCCTTCGTGAAGTTCATTTGCTCCCATGAGCTGTTGTCACACAGGTAATCATCCAAATTTGTTGTTATGGAATTGTTTTTGTGGTCATCCGATATTTTCCGACATGACCATTTAAATGACCAATCAGAAGAATTTCCTGCTGTGTTGTCAGGGTCATATGATGATGTCATTGCATCCAGAACCAATGGTGCAATGTTACCCACTGATCTGCTGCTTCCGCCCTCTAGACTCAAAACCAGGGGAGAATGTTCAATTCTAATGAAAACCTTGTCAGACCCAGTTGCATTGTCAAACCTCTCAACGGTGACATTTATGCTTACCTCGTAGAGGCCAACTTCAAGCGAACCCGCTGGTAGCTCCAACTGTGGTCTGTTCAAAAATGGCACAGTGTATCCCACTTTCTGAGTTATGTTCTGGACATCATCGGCGATGAGTTTGTTGACTTCCCAGTTGAAAGTTATCGAAATGGCACCAATGCAATCAAACGTGGTGACCAAGTCAAGGAAGATTGCTTCTGAAGTCCTATAAGATCGTGGTGCATCCACCGTCTCACCTGGACCTCTGATAGAAACCTGTGGTGGACTCTTACATCCTGTGACTGTGATTATCGTAGATATAGATGCCGTAGTGAAGAAGTTAGATGCCGACACATACACATGATAGTTACCTGGGGATGTGAACGTATGCGAGATGTGCAGACCGACTCTTCGATTGGCTTGGTCAAATATTACATCATCATGCACTGGCATTCGACAAGAACTCGGCCCATATACATACTGTTGAGTCTGATCTCCAACATTCCATGATATGCAAACAGGTCCCTGTAAATCATCCCCAATCAGTGTGAAGTCTACTTGATTGCCAGACTTCAAAGATGGCAGTCCTGTTGCATCAACAGCCTGGATTGATAACAAGATGAAGGGCTTAGCGATGTAGAAAATGAAGTGGAATTCTTCAAGCTTGCCCATGCTGTCCGTAACTCTTAATGTAGCAGTGTATACCCCTGGGTTTTTGTATCGTTTATATACAATTTGAAGCAAAGCTGTTTCCCCATTATCAAATTCCCAGATGATAGACGCGTCGTTTGATGTTGTGTTAGCAATCATTCTGACGTCTGTATCAGTTGGAAACCAATTAAAATTATGTCCTAAACCAACTGTCCAAATGCCATCCTTGTTTTTGTAGTCAAATCTAACTTTTATGGGTTCAACTTTTGGGATAATGGTGACTGCGGTCCCAAATATGTGTGAGTCCAGTTTGTTGGTCACAGTCACCTCTGCGTGGTACATTCCTGAACTGTTGTACAAGTGAGTACGGTTTATGCCTTGGGTTGTGTTGAATTCTACAGACTCAAAGTCAATGCTCCCATCGCCAAAGTTCCAGATCAGTTGTATCATTGATGGAGGGGTAGTGCCTTGAATCGCTACAAGAGTAAACACCACCAGAGTATTTGGAAATGTTGGGCTGTTTGCCAGAAGCTGGAATCCCCGAGTGCTAGGAAGAACATCGACACTTGCATTGAGATTGGCACTAGACTCCCCTAAGAAATTTACAACATGTACAGATGGAATGTACAGTCCAGGTCTGGCATACACATGGAGGAATTCTTGAATCTTTGTGGATCTTGACATGACAACCAATCTGTTATCTGTGGTGCCATCGCCATATTTCACAGCATAATTCAGCAGCGAGCCTTGTGAAGTGGTGACAGTAATCTGAACTTGAGATCCAACCTCGGCAATCAGACTATCAGATGACATTTTTAACTCAGAAATGCCCTCATAAATGGTGACCTCTTCCTTCAGAGTGACACCTCCCAGAATGTTCCTGCAGTGCAGGATGACGGTGAACTGACCACCAGGGAAGTGATGGGTCACGTTGAGACTCTCACCAGTACCAATGCTAACATTCCTCTCCCTCAGCAATATGTCATCGCCAAGGCTAGCTTGACCAGCGGGCTGTCTTCGCCACTCACAGTCCATGACAGTGGGCGGTGGCACTACTTCGTCTATAGTCAAACTGAACGTGATGTTTCCTGGACTGTAGATCACCGCTGAGCTTGCTTCAAAGTTCAGCCCCTGCACGGGATACACCACTCTGATCTTGGTGCGGTTGTGTATAACTCCACCAAGGCCATTCTCAGCCGTTATTGTTAGGATGTACCATCCAACTTGATCATAAGAATGGCCGAGATGTAGAATTTCTGGCTTGTCCTGAAACAACATGTCTGCTGTCCCATCCCCAAAGTCTATGTAATAAAATATTGAACTCCCTGATGTTGCCAGAAGTGAGAGGGTGAGATTGTCACCAACTGCAGCTGCGTTGCTGATATTAAACTCAAGTGCATCAATGTGCTCCATAACAACCACTGTGCTGTTGAAGTTAAGCTCACTGATCATGTTGGAAAGATGCACCAAGACCTCATACTCCCCAGTTTCTTCAAAGATGTGTGAAATGCTCCATTTTACTCCAGAATATAGGAACTGTGTGGATGAGTTTCCATCGCCAAAGGTCCAGTACGCTGTAACATTTGTTGGTATCTCATCATCCATTAAGCTGATAGTGAACACTGTTGTCTGGTTTGAGATGTCAACTAGACTTGGGGTGATGCTGAGATTGTAGCTGTCTGTATGGATTGGAATCTGAATGACAATTGTGTTATATGCTAGACAGTCACTGACAGGATTGGAAGCTTTCATTTGAACCGCATAAGAACCTGCCAGATGGTAGATGTGCTCAAACACCACATAACCAGTTGAGTCAGAGTATGCTGACATGTTTGTCCCGTCGCCAAAATGGATTAGGACATTGACATCCGACCCGTTACTAACTGATGCAACATAGTGTACCGTGGTGTTGGTTGTGGTCATCATTGGATCAACACTGATGAAGCATCCAGTCTGAGGTATATAAAGTGTTACATTGACTGATAGCATAACTTGACTCACCTCATTTGAACAGTTTGCCTGGATTTGCCGAGATCCAGGGGTAACGTAAATATGCTCGAGGGTAATATTGTCATCAGATAAAACACCATCCCATGAATCAGTTTTACTACTATCACCGTAGTTGATGTCACAGTGAACTATTTGTGGTATTGCTGTTTCTTTCACTAAGTAGAAAGTGAAAAGAACTGGTTTCCCTGTTTCCAAACTTGTGCTAGAGGTTTCCATTCTCAAGCCGTTGATTGCATTGAGGATTCTCACAGGGAACTGTCTGACTTTGTCCCCAAGGGCACCATGAGCTCTCACGGTGATAGTGAAGTCACCAGGACTGTTATACTGGTGATAAATGGTTTTATTTGCAACTGAATTTGTCTCAAAATTGAATTGGTGTGTCTCTCCAAAATCCACTTCAAAGACAACTTCACTGCCAGCTGTGAAGCCAAACTCAACGCTGATGTTGTCACCAGTTGCATGCACTGGAAACGGTACTTTAGCATAGAACCCTTGGATTTCTTGTCCAATCTGAACTGGGACATTCAAAGTCACAGAATTCATAGCATTTGAAACATTTACTTCTACGACAAAGATGCCATACACTGGAATACTGAGGAAGAATGTCATAACAGCTTCTGTGTCTGAAAGTGGCACAAAATCTTCTAAGAGTTGATTTTGAAAACCAGCAATGGAAAAAACTGCCTTTGCTTCCGTTGGCCATAAAGATGTGTTGGACTTAGGGTAGACATGTAGCTCAACGGGAATGGCATTGAGCTGGAGTTGGTCACGTCTACGCTCAAAGCTGGAACGGGATTGAAAACGCTTACCAAGAAGATCTCACTGGTGAAGGCATTGAAGTTATTTGAGACCTGCACTGAAACGTTATAATCCCCTGCCACTGGAAAGCTGTGTGTGTAAGACACTAAACATGGAGCCAGAGCACAGATGAGGACCACTGCATTTCCATTAAAGTCAAAGTGGAAATAGATGTAAGTACCCTCTGTCACATTTGCTGTGAGCTGAACATCCTCATTTGGAATCACAGTGGTGGCATTGATTTCATAAGAAATGTTGCCTATGGGAAGCCCAACGTATACATCGGCTGTCAAAGTAACTTGACCACTGATGAGGTTAGATGCTCGGACTTCAAAGACATATGTTCCTGTTAAGGCTATGAGGTTTCTCCATATAGAACCCAAGCACGTGAAGTTCTCTGAGCATGTGTAGTTGGTGAAAGGTACATCGTTCAGTAGGACTTCAAGGTTTGTGACATTTGTGCCATAAATTTGAAATGGAATTGTCAGATTGTTGCCCGTTACAACTCTGAATGTGGTATTTAGACTGATAGTGATGCGCTCCTGTATTATGACTGTGATGGAGGCATTAGCAGATTGTGAACCTCGTCTTTCACAGCTGACAATAAGAAGAAACACACCAGGACTGTTATACGTATGAGTGAGTTCGATACTAGATTGACTGCCTGGAAATGGTTCATTCTTGCCATCCCCGTTGTCCAGACTACAAGACACATTAGGACTCCCATTGGCTATATCCACCCAAATCAGTATGGGCTCCCACATACCAGCTAGTCTATCTGAAGTGATTGCTACAAGAAGGGCACCTGACTCCACTGGGTCGTCCTTAGCTGTTACCCATAATCCCCTCTCAATACGACTGATCTCATTGGTTGCTGTGACTGTCAGATGATACCAACCAGCCTCAGGGAAAAATAAATAGGTGGATGCATTAAATGTCTGAATCTCTTGCAGACGGTTATCTCCAAAGATGGAGTACAAGACGTTCACACCTGCGTCGACGTAGAAACTTACATTGACATTCCTCCTTGTCGTTACCAGGTACCTATCGTTGCTGAACTGGACCCCATCTAAACTCACAGACAAGCCTTGGACAGTCTCTGGAGCAGGACTCCTGCGTAGGAATGATGGCAACTGATACAGACTCAGGCTGTTGTCACTTCCGCACGTGATCACTTTGTACCCAGGACAGACATTGCAAGACACTTCAGCATCTGATTCACTGTAGGTGTGATTGTGATTAACAAGGCAGTAACATCGTGGGTCGTTCCCACCAATTGCTGCAAAGTTGTATCTGCTAGGATCGCATGCTGCTCTGCACTGCCAAGGTAAGGCTGGATGTGAGTTATTAGAAAAACTGTTGTTAGCTGCAGGTTGAAGGGCTGATTCAAGAGATCCCAATGGCATACAGTTCTCATAGTAGGCTCGCAATACTCCTGTGAATTTGGGATTAAAGTAAAATGTCAAATCTCATTTTGTTAGCAGTCACATGCAGTGAGTGAAAATGAAGCTTGTCGTTATTTTTAAATGTGGAAGTATTAGCCGATAGATATGAAAATGACGTATTTATGACTGACCTTTTCATGTCTATCAACAGAATTTACCTTCTTGCCTGAGATCATAGACATCATTAAGATCTTTCCACGTATCCCAGAGGGTAACTTGTCCAATGTCAGCCACAGCATACCCACCATTGTTCATGTCATTCCTCCCACCAATGTACAAGTCTCTGAATGGATCCTTGGAGCATGTCGCCCATGGATACCGTTGATATCCTTCATCACTGCCATGGGTACCGGCGCACACACCATCAACATGCACATCTAAGCCAAGGTTGGGTCTCCATGTTATCATGACGTGTTGATTGACTGACATCACGGCTTCGTAATGCACTTGCCATAGAGTGCTCGATGTTGCCACGGTGATTTCAAACACCCCAACCCTTGACCCATCAGGATCAAAGTTCAACGCATCCAGGCGAAAGTAGAAGCCACAGGATTCAGCTCTTTGGGCTCCACTTGAGAGGTAATACACACCTTCCTGACTGACAGACACATCATTAGGATGAAACCACATTGAAACTGTGAATCCATGAACACAGAGGGTAACGTTTCCTGAACAGACATCTGTTCGAGTTGCTGCCATTACAGCTCTTGAACCGTTAAGCTGAAGCGCAGATGCAAACGGATCTAGCTGTATCAGGTCCGACGAAATTAATTCAAAACTCCTGGTGTGATTCACTGAGAGAAAACAGACAAGAGTTGACATCTCTTGAATGATGTATACAAATGTACATGTATTTCCCTCCCCTGGATTTGGTCTAATTCAGGATTTTTGTTATGCTTGCTTTTAAAATGAAAATGTTGTTTGTTACACTGTAAAGACTCTTCAAAATGATGAATATTTTCATTAAAAGTTGGGATTTTCATTTTGAGTACTCTCTTAATCAATATTTATTTCACCAAAGATTTGATAGATAAATTTTAGTTGTTTCATTTACAGGATTTATGCAAAGATTCTTAACGCAGCAATGAGAATCTGTACCAGTTTATTGTAAAATGTTACCTTCACTGCTGTTAATACCAAAATGCATAGAAAATTTAGGATTTTTCAAAAACAGTTGATTCATATCAGTGTTGAAAACACAGGCTTGTAGGGGTGGTTTATTCATGGGGAGTTGCACCTTTCAAAAGTCAAAAAAATTGCCAAAGATACTTGAAAAGAAGTCCATGCAGTTTGATGAATGAGCAGGCTGGTGATAGAAAGTAGATGTAATCTTCTGTAGATATATGCATGTATGCCCATTCTTAGCAGGGCAAGATTTTTGAGGCTTTTTATCGTCTTAAGGCCTTCCCCCTTTTAAGTGTTCCGTTCAACTCTTTAGTTATCAAACTGTTCTGATAAGCTGTTAATTTGCGAACAACTACACACATTTATGCAATGAGGTCACTTAGTGAGCAAAGGAAAACAAATTTGAAGAAGAAACTGCAGTTGTAATGAGGCACATGGCGAAATAAAATGATTTCAAGCGCATATTGTCTTCTGTTCTATTAAAAGAGCTTATCCTGGGTTGATATCACTAATAGAATAATAAATCATCTTTGACAGGTCTTGATTCAAATTCTTTTCAGTGGCTTTTTCAATCAGCTCAGAACCTGAATTGCAGAGGGGAGTGTATAAGAACATGCCCCTAGGTATTTCTTCCACATGAATATGATAAGGACGACTTTTAAGTACTGTTCCATTTCCTTCCATTTCTAAAGTTTGAACAGTTCCCCTAAAATTAGTCTCTCTTGGATAGACCATAAATTTTACATGAAGAAATACATTTTTATCCCACAAACAGTTTGGTTCTGAATCTGCCCCTGAAGTCGTAATTTGTTTGTCCTCTTTGGACATTGCTTCCAGACAGGGTTAGCAGCAGTAGATAAAGTTTTCCCCCTTTGGTTTGATGTCCAAAATAAGGTTTGTTGGAAAAGAGAAATATGGAATTAAAAATACACATCCATTTATTGATTTTATCATACAGAATCAGAAACTAATCCAGGATGAAATCAGCTGCATCACCATGACAACAATTACACAACAAGTTATTGCGCTTTGTAATATTTTGATATGCATTTGAAAGAGCAAGGTTACATTTATGGGCAAAAACAAACCTGTAAGTGTTTCTTTGAAATTAAACTGTAATACCATACTTGATATCAAGCTGAAACTTGTTGAATGAACTCAATAACATCCCGACCCAACCTAATGAAATTAATTGAAGGGTGTGATTTTTATACAGGTTGATGGTCGCTGTAAAGCTTCGAGGGATAGCCCAATATTAAATTCATCGATATTTTCCTTTCGTTGTGAAAACAACACCTATCATCAATGACTGCAGGCAACAGGTGTTCGCAATGTGGCTTGGGGGATCCACTTCATAGGCCAAGAGTATGTAATGGGTCACGCATATCAGCGGGCGTGGCCTTTAGCTCTGGTTGAGGAGGGGGAAATTAGCCATCCAGAATAACTGCACATAAACCATGTATAAGTTTCACATAAAGTGACTGACAATGTCCTAAAGGCACATGTGATATTGAACTTTGAATCACCATTAAGCATAATCCCTGTTTAGTGATTAAAATTAATAATTTCATGGTCTTTGTAGTTCATCCCAATGGCGTTGGATAGTGTGATAATTAGTGTCAAGTGTCAGTAATTAATATCTCTAGTAATTTATTTCCTCTCTCCTACTTGATGTGATTTATGTGAAATATTTGACACAAGAAATCAATAAAATAATTTCTGTTGAAATAAGAAATAAATTCTCTTGCTTCTGGCCACTTTATTTCATATGACGGTTTTAGAGTTACAGCTAGGCTGCATTTCAAGAGGAACAAAGTGTTCAGAATTGTGATCAAACATTTAGTCCCTTCGATTCTGTTAGCCCTGCATGTACCTAAGCAATTTGTACTGGTCGAAATAATATAACTCTCCTAATATTAACACTTTGCCAAGGCAATTGCTTATTCAGTGGCTCCCAAGTTAGCAAATCATTACAGACACAACTGTAGTGATTTGCTGGAGATGTTGTGTAATACTAGGGGAGAGACAGGCAGAGAACTGGAAAGAAAATAGACATGGCAAGTCAGAATGATACCCCTTCATAAAAGGACTGTATATTCAATGGAAGCACCCCTTTTAATAAGTAGAAGGAATCTACAGAGTTCGGGAAATGGTTAACACAGAACCCTGCTGAGGAAGAATTTATATACACAGACGGCAGAGGAGTATTGCATTTCATGATAAGCAGCAATGAAATTAACAGCATATTGGATGTACATATAAATGCTACGTTTCCATGGAGACCGTTTCCCTCGCGTTCCCTACCTTCCTCTTGTGAGGGGTTTGTCCGCTCTTCAAATGTTTATCCTTATGCATGTTATCCTTCACAACACCTGTTCAAACCCTCCTGTCCGTCACTTCATTTTTAAACTGCTGTCCAACACTTTGTGAGTGTTTTTTGGCTGATTCTGACTGCAGACAAGTGGCACATGGAGAGCTTCAGTCAACATGTGAAACCAGCTGTGTGATCATTGTTTCTGGATGCTTTAAAGGGTAGGACTCGTTTCATTTCTGTGTTCCCTTGTTGAAGGCAGTGCCTTATCTTTTTTTTCACTGACCTGAACAATTCAGACACTCAGTCTAACCTGTTGGAGAGTAAGTTCCTCTTTGGACTAATTTTCACTCTTTCAGAGTGGTTTTCATTCCTTTCAGAGTGGATTTGCATCCTTTTGAGTGGTTTTATAAGGGACTCCCTCTTTTGAGAGCGAGATCTTCACCCTTTTGCATTTACACAGAAAGTAAACAACTAGACAGACCTTCTTTAAACCTACTATTGCTTGACATCTCAGCATAAATATGAAAATCTCGTCTTTATACCTGACATAATATTAGACCCAGGGCATTTTAGAAGGGTGCAGATTGTATCGCGACAGCTGATTGCTGTTGGAATTGAGTGTGAGAATTTTTTTTTAGTTTTGTAAATGCTTTTAAAATACCTTTTGATTGAAAGAATCAAGATCTTTTCCAGAAAGAGAGAAGCTTTGAGCATGAGGTGATAGACTGAGGGTTTTTTGGGGGGCACACATTTGAGATTTGAGCTATGAATGGGGTAAGGATAAAGAAATTAAGGTCAATTTTCAAAGTGAATTTAACCCCTGTTAATACACACCTACAAAATTATTTTCATTTCTGATTCAAACAAATCATCGCACCAACTGAGCTAGGAATTCATTTCAGTGCAAATTTAAATACAGTTTCAGATCTCTGTTCAATAAACATGAAAACAGAGTTCACTTTTGAAGCACTGGATCTAGGAATTCCGGAAATCACACTTAATCTAGCTCGAGCATGTTGAGTGTTATCATTAATGAGCATGTAACTTCACCCAAGCAGTAGGCCAAGAACCTATGATCAACCTAACCTCAGAAATTGGCAAACATTTTGGATATTTTGATGTGGGAATTTCGATGTAGGCCTACCACTTTCAGGCCGGTTCAGCTCATTTTGGAAAACTACTGAAAGAAATGTAAATCAGTCATTCTAGAGAGATATGTATGCATAATTATCATGCAGATAAATAATCCATTTGTAAGATTTTTAACTTGAGAAATTGTCTAAAGAATTACAAAGCAATAACGAAACAGATTCCAAAAAATAATGAACGATTTTATTTCTTCATTTCTTGTAATCATTTAAAATATGTGCAGTGCTAAGGTGGTTGCATTTCAACGAAAAGGAAAGTAAAAATCAAAGAAAGAAGTTGCGACAGTTGCATCAAGTTGCAACATTCACTTAGGCATAGGCCCTATTACCGTGCTAATAAATTTTCCAAAAATGTCAAAAAAATGACTTTAATAAAGACGAGTCTTACCCTTGGCTACTCCATATCTGCAGGTTGAATTTGCAAAGGTCTCACTTCCCTCAGAATCTACGGGTGAAACTGTTTCCGTTGAGCTCTCGGAAGCTGTTGCCATACCTCCCCATCGTCGCATCCCATGCCTGTGTCGGTATCGTCCACGTTGTGCCGTAGAGAGGAGGAATAAGATAAACCACAGATTCAGATGTGCCATGATTGCGTGCCAGCTGAAGACTGACGAGAATTCTCTCCGGGTGAACTTCATATCCGTGTTACTGATTTATTTTGTAAAACCATTCCCTTGATTAAAGAGTCAAAATGAAGGCTTGTCTCGTCGATAGTCCCACCGGCTATTTCGCTATCGATTGTTATCCACCGTGTGATTTATTGACAGTTTACTGTTGGCCGAGCATGTTGTATCTGGACTTTGGGCCAATCCAAATGGCTTTTGTAGGATGCGTTGCCCTTTGACGGAGTAAGGCTACTTGTGAGTGGTGAGAGTATAATTGCATGACGGACAGCAACCAATCATGGCAACGAATGACCTTCGGGCTAAGTCAACCTGCCTGGTAAGTGTTGAGTAATCAATTGCACCTGCTCAGGTTTGTTGAAGTGCGTGTATCTGACATCATCTATTGGTTATTAATAAATCATGCTTTCACTTACGAGGTTATAACGAAATACGGAACATTTTCTTAACCAAAGTGTGCAGTCTGTAAAAAAAAAGAAGAGCGTTTTTTTTAATCATTTGTTCGGGGTTATTTTAGTTTGATTTGGTTTGGTTTGTTTTTTAAATACCAAACATATTGCACGAAATCTTCCAAATGGAATGATTAGGCCCCAACCATACAAACAGTAGTGGGCGTAAATTTGTGCTGGGTGTGGGGAGGGCATGATGTAAATCACAAGAAAATGCCTGGCCATGGAAATTTGAAAAGCGGGGAGAAGGGGTCACGGGGGGACCGTTGAGATGGTTACACCATAACTGACATACTTATGGGGGCGCTGTTCATGATTTACGAGCAAAGACTCGGGTATACATGTACATCATCATAATAATATGAATTAAACACATCGACGTCTTTATAACGGTTTAAAAATTTTTGTCTCCTTTCGTCAGCGCTATTGAATAAAGTTTGGTTGCCAAGAAGCCCCCCAAAATTCCTCAAAATCTGCTCTATTTTTTTACTAACCAAGAAAAGGTGTGGTTGGGGGTAGCCCATCCCCCTGTTCAAAAAGTATTGAAAGTAACCCCATCCTTAAGGATTTATTTGTAGACGTGGATGAAGGCAAAGGCTAAGGGAGCACTTCCCTCATGCTGTCGTCAGTCGTTTACATTACATTCGGCGAAAAATCCTTTCTTGACAAATGTCATAGAACATGTCACGTGTTTGTGTGCCTTCTCTCTTCACAATTTTAACAAATTGAAGGTATAGGCGAAGTGGCATGTGGGCAAAGTGGTAGATGGGCGCGCGAGTGTCTATTATTATGGAGATTGAGGGCGCGCTTCACGCATGTAACAAGCGCAAGCATGATCGAAAGTACATGTATATTTGCAGTGAGTAATGAGTTCTGAAACTCATGCGGTTGACAGTTAAGATGTGTCCCGTGGTCACTACGCCAGTGCCATGATATGTACTAGATAGATGTCCACGTCATGGGCAGGGTGACGTTAGAAATACTTGTTAAATAGATACGATGGTAGGTATTGATGGTAAGAAAATTTACAGAAGTAAAATTAGCCTAGGACCAGTAAGAATAAATGATTTTTTAAATAAAAAATTATTATTACTAATATTATTAGGGTCTAAAACGCATTAGACCTTTTAGTCGTTTTAAAAATGTTTCTAGGCCCTGTGCAAGATTAAAGTCTGTTGCTGTGTGAGTTATTATTAGTTCATAATTATTGGAAATAGAACTTTTTACTTGATAGGTCTTGAAATCTTCACTGGAAAAATGTCTGTTGGAACTAGAAAGGAGGACTCGCCATCAGTGTCAAGATTCTTATCTCGCTCAAAGAAGGAGATAAGGGGATTAGGTCTCAAACCGGTCAACTCAGGCACTCAGCGGAGTACCAGACATGCCGCCTGCATCATGCGAGAGTTCTGCAAGGAGACTGGGCGAGGCCAGGTACCATTTGAGACGCTCCCCCTGGCCGAATTAGACAGTCTCCTGGAGGACTTCTTTGGCAACATCATCAAGAGGGACGGCACGCCCTACAACCGAAATGGCCTGATTGGGATCCGCTACGGCCTGGCCCGATTCCTGAAGGAGAAGAGACACTTTGACATCACAGCTCACCCAGGCTTCTCCAAGTCTATTCATGCTTACAAGGCCAGGCAAGCGGAGCTTAAAAGAAAAGGGTTGGATGTCGTCAACCACTACCCACCCTTCACTGTACCAGACTTGATAAAGCTATACAGCTCATTTGACCTTGCCAACCCCACTAGCCTTCGTCAAAAAGTACAATTTGATGTGATGTTCTTCTTGTGCCGTAGAGGGCGTGACAAGTTGAGGGAAATGACCAAGGACCAATTTGTCTTGGACACAACACCCGCTGGCCAACGTTACGTCCGTCCTTCAGGAAATCAGCCATTTAACCAAGAGAGTGTGGAATATGCTGGCTGTACTAATGTTATGCTAGAAAGACGAGGTAAAGAAAAACTAAGGATTCCTCCACCTTTTTTTCAGTTGACATTCGTAGATATTTTAATTCTTTCAGAAAAATTGCAATTCTTTCAAAGCAGAGGTTGCACTTCTACCGAAAAGAGTAACTCTGGCGTTTGGTTATGATTTCGCCTTACAAATGAAGACCAGCCATATTTACTGCACTGCTTTTACATCCAAGGTTAAATATAACTTGTAAAAAAACTCGAGAATTTGGGAACTGAAGTCGATTTCTTGAGTTGAAACACAATTAACTTACAAAGTTAGTTAGGGTTTTTCTAAACGATTACTTTCTGTGCCTTTTTCTGAGTTGAAGCTTTTTCCTCGGAAATGCATCTCTAAGATTACTCATTTTGTCTTGTTTGCTTAAGTTTTTTTGCTCATTTAAGTTTAAATCACCGTGAACGGTCTGTCAGTGTGTCTCACTTAAAGGCCAAAAAATACTGGAATACCTGCTATGCAGTTTTCGAACCTTGACATGACCTCATCATGAATGAAAATGAAGTTAAAATGTAAGGATTTGTGTTTCAGAAACAACTTAACTTTTTTCTACAGCTCGCAGATATGTAGATCTTGAATGATACCATTGTTTGTGTGTTTGTTGTTTTTGTATCTTTGATTTCAGAAAGCCCTTTATGCCCAGTTTTATCCTTTGAGGTTTACATGAGCAAGTTGAACCCTTTAAGCAATTGGCTATGGCAACGAGAACGAGCAGCCAATGAGATGACTGGCCCAGTGTGGTACACCCATGCTCCAGTTGGTAAGAATAGTCTAGCCACCCTAATCCCTGTCCTGTCACAGGAGCTAGGACTGTCAATGTCGTACACTAACCACTCTATCCGTGTCACTCCGCTGACGACCTACGACAGCGCATTGCCAAAGGTTAGCTTTGTCAAGGCATCCCAGCAAGCAGTCAAGATCCCCGTCACCCCGGTGAACATTTGTTTGCGGAATGTGCCGTCAGTGGAGCCCAGTCTTGATACTCCTGCACGTTCCAAACAGCATCAGGAATGTTATGGCACAGCAGAACAAGGAGCAAATCCTCCGATAGGAACCCAAGAACATCACCAGACGTTATCCGTAAAAACCCCCGACGAAGCCCCAGGACCTTATCGTCAGATTGCCAGCCAAACAGCTACAGCCTCTACCGATGCTGTCTGTGAATCCACACCAAACCACTTGATCAACGACAACCAAACAACATACCCTTGTCTGCCTGCCACCTTTCATGTCAGCCATTCAACAGTAAGTATCCTTTCCCCAAGCACTCCAGACTTCTCTGGTTCTGACTGCTGAATTTTGCCACACAATAAGTCTTTACCAATGTTGCATTCTCTTGCATTTTGCATGATGACAGTTGATTTGAATACCTGTGCATGACTTGAATGGACAAATGGACATTCTTGTGTAATGGTGCAGTGTGTTTACTGCAAACTCCAATGTCATGGTTCGTTATCCTTGGTTCACACCTATACATTCTTCCCAACACTGCGAGATGCAGCACAGTGCATCAGGTGAAAAAGTCTGATGCACTTTGTTCCACTTGGCAATCAACAGCAGCCAAACAAACTGGCCACTGTAGTGACTGGCAACCACATACTCCCAGGCTTTTTGGCCTTGGGGAGAGTTTACCTGTTTCCTGATCTTGTTACATGTACACTGGGCAGGCAAGCCACTTTGACGAACGATGCAATTTGATGGGCCTGGCGGGGTTTCTATCCAAAAAAGGCCAGAGGGTTAGGGTTAACTTATCAAAATCAACTTGACATTTCCATCAACCGCATAACTGCACACTTGACACTCAGGCGGTCATTTTCATCGGGGGGAACACATCTGATTTTGTACACTATAAAGAAAAACCGAGCTTTGTGTCAGTAATTTGTAAGTCTTGTACTGTTGCCTTACTATGTCACTCAGGACACCGACAGCTCTAAGATCTACTCAGGACACTTCCGACCGGGAGAGGTCAAGGGGTCATTCGGCGGACGATGGAGGTTGGTCAGAGACACCATCCCGTCAGTGTTTTTCTTCAGCAAAGCAGATAGGCCAAGTACTTCATCCAGTAAGGACAGATGTAAGGATATGACAGGGAGTGAGAAGGAGTGCGCTGGGTATGTTAAGTAATCACATTCTTACTTTATTCACGGGGGCTTCTGTATGATAATTATGATTTCATTTCCTATTGTCACATGTCCACGGCAAATTTTGTTGGACAAATACTGACTGGAGAAAAGCTTTCTGGGAACCTGTACTTTGTAGGATAATGCACTGGCAAAAGTCGAAAGAGCTTTTAAAACTCTGAAGTGTGCATCTTTAGGAGGGAGTGTGAAAGCAAGAGCTTTTTGAAAGAAGAGTTTCTTTTGCTTACTGTACATGAAACTGTTTTCGCACTGTTTTCTTCGACAGGTCTGGTGATTCCCAGAGCCAGACTGCACATCATCCAGCCCATGGCTGTGTGCCAACATCTACCAATGATCACCTACAGGCAGCTGTTTTACACATCCAGCAGCTAGAAGTCCAGAATCGACAGTTGCAAAACCTGAGGTTTGAGGTCGGCAGGTTTTGTGACGATCCTGATTTGATCCAGTTTTACACTGGTTTTGACACTTACAACCAGTTCTGCGATGCTTTTCAGGCTTTGCAGCCCACAGATGAGTTAATGAGAGATGGCAGCTGGTCTGCCATCCGAGATACCACAAGGAATGAAAACCTCACACCCACTGATCAGTTCTTCCTTTTCTTGTGCCGCTGTCGAGCAGGACTCCTGGAGCAAGATTTAGCCGTCAGATTTGGGATCAGCATCGCTGCTGTGGTCGGCATCTTAACCATCTGGACAAACTACTTGCATTTTAGATTGGCTCCATTGCTGGTCTGGCCATCCAGGGAGTGCGTCAATGTACACATGCCACAGTGCATCAAGGACATCTGTCCCAGGCTTCGGGTGATCCTAGTGAGCACGGAGATGAAGTACAGGGCATCGTCGTTGTACATAAACAACCGGGAGTGCTCCCAACAGAAAACGGCCAGTACGTTTAAGGGTCTCGTTGGCATGACACCTACTGGTGCTGTGTCATATCTGAGCCCACTTTATATGAGCAATGCTTCAGAAGAAGAAATTGTTATCCAGAGTGGACTTCTAGATAAGTTGGACGCGGATGATGATATTATCTTAAATGGCAGAGTTTTGTCAGTTGAATGTCCACACTTTACAGACAGCAAAACGTCTGATAGTCCTCCTGTCTTGGTCAATCAAGAGCCTTCTCTGTTTGACACTGCAGGGCTGGACGTTGCCAAACTCCAGAGCCACCTTGAGCGTGTAGTCAGTAAAGTAACAGCTTATCGTATCTTTGAGTCACCAATCCCAACAAGTCTGGTTGAGTCACTTAGTAAGATATGGACAATCTGCTGCTTATTGACAAATTTCAAAGAGCCTCTCCTGTGACTTACTTAAACTGAAACATGTAATGATTTGTAAGGCAGTTACATCAGCTGTAATCTGACTTTCGTTGAAGTTGAGGTTGGCTCATGTCACTGTCATTTAGTCTTGTGTGTTGTTGAATTGTATTACAGATGGAAGAAGTTGCAACTCAAAGAAGGTTAACTATAGCCTGCTTCCCAAACCCTGTATTTCATTGGAGACTTCACAAGCTGGAGGTCCAAAGCCAGTCAGGATGTGAGAGTATTGAAGTATCAAGGCCTGACATTTTGATCCTTGCGAAATCCAACTTTTCCTATTTCCTGATTCTGCAAGGATTAAAGCATTGATATCTTTAACTTTAAAGCACTGTAGATTTCAGGGTTCACCTTTCAAGGAGCAGTAGTTTTAATTAACTAAGTTTTCTTGGATGTCACTGATGCTCCTTGCCTATACACCAGTATTCTACCTTTTCATTTCTTTAAGTACCTTGCCCACTGTTGAATTTTCTTTCGTTCTTGCCAGAACTAGATTTTTTAATTACCAGAATGGCATAAGCCAATTCATTTTGATGAGTTCTTCCATTCATTTCTGCAACCTCAGCTCCAAGCATTGTTTTGCCCATGTGCAACGTGGATTCGTTATTTTCAAAGAGATCACTTCAGCTCTGAACTCTTTCCTCCATGGATCTACTCCATAAGGCCACAAAATCAAGTCTGCTCCTTCTCCTAACAATGAACCCCTTCTAAAGGAAGACCAATTATTACTGCCTATTGTTGGATCGCTTCCTTTTCAATGTACACCTAAGCTTTGCTATAGTTAGCAGATGAAACTTGCTTTTGTTCCAAATGGTATTCTAAAATAGTGATGTTCTTTTCAGCTGCTAGAAATATGTTCATGTCTCTGTTTAACTGTTTTTGTCTTCATTTGGCTTTTTCTTTTCCTATTTTTATACTTTTTATGAAATAAATGTTGTAGCATAATGCCTTATTCTGTTTTCTGCTTTCGATTTAATTTGTTGGTATTTTAATTTTAAAAGGAATCACCCTTCAAACATTGGTCAGAATACGTAGAGCCATCCTACCTCCTTAGCCCAACCCCAAAGATTTGATATTGATTGAAATTTTTCAAAAGTCATTGTTAAAATGATTACTAAACAGGGAAATGCCAACATTTTCTAAAACAGAGAAATATCCATTTATTCCCCATCACGCCTAATTACTTCCTAAGTTTATTTGTAGCTGCAATCAGAATTCCCACGTTCTGCACAACCCAAATCAGATGCCACGAAAAATACAGTTTCACCTGCATCATTTCAGATGGAAATCACAAGAGGGCCCATTTATATCTCATTAATGTACTCTTCAAGTTTAGGAGAAAGCTGTTTGACAAGTCTGAAGTTATCAGCAATTGAGCTTTAATTATGCTAGACTTGACAGAAACATCAAGGAGTTTTAAAAGTAGGCCCTGTTGGTTACTTTGTCAAAATTCAGATTCGTAGAGGGGGTAATACTAAAGGTATGTATTCTTTAATGGTTCTCAGCTAATTGATTTCTTGGGTCTCGGAACCATGATTCCTATTAAAATTTCAGGCATTCCAACTTGTTTGCACAACTTACATTTCACTTTAGCACATCTCATGTTCAAGTTATGCATTTGTTCTAATTGGTCTTTAACCGTTCAGTACTCACAACATTTTGGAATCACGGTTTTCCTGGACATTTTCGTTCATCTAAATTCTTTGAAGGCTACAGAAAGAGATTGATAGAGTATTCAGCTGAATTAAACATTTTTATAATTCATTTCCATGATTTGTGCTTTCTGATTCATATATATCTACATAATTATAAAATACGCAAGGAAAGGAAACTAAACTGTTTTTATGTTTGAACGATGACCTTGATTTGTCTCTGCAATATCTGCTGTCTGTAATTGGCCAGGAAAACCTATAAATCCAAATGAAAGCAAGGTGTTTGGATCTGAATTATTTCACCGTTTTTCTCTTTGTTCATGGATAGTAGATAATTTTTTCCCCCAAGTGTTGAAAGGAAAGTAAAAAGTCTGCATTTATAATCATTTGAAAAAGTGGTTCTTCATTTTGTGAGAACCCGAGACTAGCGCATGTACCTGTATCATGTGTTGAGCGCAGAGTCGTTCCCATTAATTTGAGGACGAGGTTGGTCCTGTTGCAAGCGGATTTATGGGGTCGAGTTATGCAGCTAGCTAGCTAGCTACGCGACGTGTGTGTGGGGCGCGAGGGTATTTGTCACCACGCGGAAAAGGAATCTCGTCGTTAAAATGGCGCTTTTTTCCTCTCCAAACACCGATTTCATATCCCAGGGTAGCCTCATACTATTTATGGAGGTGTACCTCTATCTTCAGGGTTTGTACTCGGTCATGGCTGTGACAATTCTGTTTCTCATAATGGGTTTGGGTTATCGTAAGACGCGATGTGGATCGCAAGCTTGCATCATCGTGTTGGGTGACATTGGGAGGAGTCCTCGCATGCAGTATCACGCACTGTCCTTGGCGACTGCCAACCTCGATGTGGAGATGGTGGGTTATGGAGGTAAAACTAAGAATTTACACCCATAGTTTTTGACGGAGGAGTAAAGTATGACCAAGCCTGCTTCAGTAAATTTGCAATTAAAAGTTATGACAGTCAGCGTTAACTGGGGTAGGGCCCAGGGGCCTACATACATCCATCATTACATGTACATGACTTTGTGAGTATTTTTGGGGAGGTTCCTTCATTTTTAGGAGGGGGACACCCACTGGGTTTGGTCACAGTTTAAACACTGACCAAGGCAGACTAGGCCCCCTATAAGCAGGTTCTTTTCTTCACTAACTTCTGGGGGGAGGAAGTGGGCGTGTCCCCCTGCTGCCTTTATTTTTTTATAGGCCTAAGCCTTGTCGCAAAAACTGCATGGGTAATTTTGCACAATGGTGGAAAGGCATTGTGGAAAGGAAAAATGAGCAAACATTGAACCTTCCCACAATGCCTTTCTACTATTATACAAAATCACTCGAGCAGTATTTGCAATGGGGCAGCGCGGACTTCCAGGAGTTTCACAAAAGTTCCGGTAGCAGCCACACCGTGCCGGTGAAAACAGTTGCAACAAGCGCACGTGTACGCACAGATCAAAGAAAAGATTGTGTAGCCTGATCCTCGGACTGGCTAGTGCGTGCGTACATCTCCATGGTTCCTGTTTCACTGGCGCAGTAGGCCTGCCTGTCATTTTGTGAGAATCCTGGATGTCCGCGCTGCCCCAAAGGCTTATTTGCAAATTGTCAATGTCAACAGGTCAAGGTATTACTTGCTGTTGGCTGCATTTGGGAGGACATTTTAAGCTCAGTAGCCCCACATGACTGTCACTGGTCCTATGCACAAAAATGATGTGAATTACATGTATAAAAATCTGCATTAAGCAAATAGTTTTTAAAATTAAAAATCATGATTTCATCAATCTTGCTAACAAACGACATTCACTCTCGGTGACCCTGTTGGTGTTGAATTGTTATTGCAGGTTCCAAACCTCATGAAGATCTCCTCACAAACGAGAAAATAAAGTTCCACCTGATGTCTATCCCGCCCAATATTCCAAACAGTAAGTGCTTCATATTCATGCTTTGTGCTTATTTGTATATGACCATGGTGACTAGGCCTTCTGTGTAATCTGGGTAATCCTTCGAGAAAATGTGGGCTCTCGCAAGACAGGAATACTTGGAATTCGTCAAAAATCAGTTTATGCAATTTAAACAGAATTGCAGAAATTATCACATGCCGGTGTGTTTAGTTCCCACAGAGACTGTGTACATGTACGTATACAGGTACATTGGTCACCCCAACTATGGAACAAGTAGAGGCATGTTTGGTGATATTGAAATTGAATGCACACGAGTGTTTGCTTAGGAAGCATGACAGTTACCATAACTTTTGGAATATAAGCTGCCCGGTGCATAAGCCGCAGCATGCAGAAATTGGCAAATTAAGATTTAAAATTGGCGTCTAAGCCGCACCACAGTGCTGACGATCCAACCATGAACTTGATGAAGGTCATCATGCTGCGTGCTGAAGCACCAATACAGCATGTGCAGTACCTCAATGGTTCCTCTGCACATGCAATTCTAATAAAAGTAAGCAAAATGCAAACGAGTGTCACCATCAAAAGTGAATTTTTTAAGTCCTCAAATTTAATTCTTGTGGCTGCGGGATGGTGGTCCCGCATGGGCCGTGCTTCAGCTCTTGCCGTTTTTCTAGCTGCCAGCAAAAATTATGCCATCGCGGACGTACAATAAGATTTTGGTAACTCAAAAGGTTTTATCTCGTAGGCGGACTATATCTTGCCAAAAGAATAGGCTTTTAAATTAAAAAAACCTCTGTAACTGTCCACATCACTATCTCCAGGTATTTGTGGCTCCAATCAAAACACAGCCACAGTCACTTCAGAAATGAAAAATCTGCCACAAGACCTTGGTTCAAGTCATCACACTGAAACTGCTTGTGTTACATGCATGCATGCTGCGCGTGGCATGGCACACACGCATTGCACATGTTGCACGCACCACCGAGTTCGCGTGAACCTTGTTTTCAGGCTAATATGACTGCTACCGTAGACCCATTCATGGACAGTCCAATTGCTGACTCATTGCGATAACCATGTGACCACAGAAAGTGTTGTCATGGGAAGACCCAAGTGACAAACCGAAATTCTGTGTCATGTCACGCTGAACACGATCGGTGAAAAGACGAAAGATCTGCCGCACAAAGGTACACCATTGAAGCAGTTGATTTGTTTTTCATGGTACAAAAAACCTTTAGGTTACAACAATAAAAACAGCTTTCGTAAACGGATTATTTGTCTGCAGAAAAATACACCGGAACTTTGAATAAAAATCGGAAAAATAATCACTAAACAAGTTGCCATAGAGCAAGTAAAGTTTAAGATTACGTAAACATTTCATGTAGGTGTTTCATGACTCCATGTCTCGGGGAACTCTGTTAATAACTCAAAAACCGGACAACTCAAATTTTTATTTATTCTCTGAGGATTGAGTTTGCAGATGTAAATGTCAACAAAAATATGATTACACCACCTGTACGTGGTACGTGTGGCCTGGCTGCAGCTTTTGTGACAGATTTTATCCTTCAAAGTTTGCTGTATAAGTCACCCGATGTATAAGCTGCAGAGACATTTTTTTTCAGCATGAAAATCAACGTATAAGCCGCAGCTTACATGTATATTCCGAAAATTACAGTACTTAGCCAGGAGCAAAGCCACAAAATATTACACAAAACTCCAGACATGGATTATGACTTTCATTTGAAGAGGACTTTTAGTGAAGCTTGGGTGAAGGCTCACCTGTGTTGAAGGTCTTACATCATACTAGCCAAGTACAGATTTTTCTCCTTTAGCAAAAGACACATCTTTCATTTGTTAGTGTTTCAACATGTTTGTGATATTAACCCTCCTATGCTGAAGTCACTCTTTGGGTCATTTGGTGAACACCTCAAAGAAGCACAGCTGTGTTGTGTTGAGCACTGCACCAACAGTCCCTCACAGGAATATCAGATTGCACTTTTGTGCTGCCCAACAATTGTGCTTCACGGTTTCATATGCATAATTGTGCAGTAAACCAAAT